TCTTAAAGTTTCATAGTGAGCTTAGGGTGATCTGTAGAAGCAAAGGAGGAAAAGTACCTATACTTACTAGTTTTGGTCAAGTAAGTTAATCTTATTTGTTATAGGGAGTCGTGTAAAATGTAATTTGTAAAAAGTCACAAATGACTCAGGTTGAAGCTATAGAATGAAGGGTTGTAGGCCAGTAAAGTTGAAGCTCTCTGAAAGTGGCAAGTGGAAAAAAATCCCAAATTTATTTTGGCTCTCCCTGGACATACTTGCCATCTGTAAGATTACAAATTTTTTGTATTGCCAGACTGTTCACTTTTATATGTTTGTGTTTTCTTGACAGTATATTTAATATTATTTTTCTAATCTTGCTTACTCAAAAGTAGAAATATTTAATGATTTTTTTTCTGATACATTTGCTTTTTAAAAAATTAATGACAAAATGCTCAATTTTCTACTAAGATTATAAAAAGCAAGTAATAACAGATCATCTGTTGTCTATAAATTGTGATCAGTAAACTTCTGAATATTTGCTTATTTTGTTCTATGGTGTTAATTTATGCCAGTGTTGTCTAACAGACATGAGATATTGAATAACATCACTAACAATTAAAATAGAATTTTAAATTAATTAGGTTTCTCACTTGAGTCATCTACAGGTTGACTGGAAAATGAACTTTGTAATTTAGTAGTGAACCACATAAATGATAAACTGTTTAATACCTATTTCTAATGGTGAAAAGTACAGTATATTTTAATTTTACAATAAAAATATTAATATTGGTAGCTTTATAAAATTCTTTAAATGTAATGCAGAAGTCAGTCATAACCAACCATTGGTATTCTATACACATGAATATAGAATGAAAGGCTAGCCTCCACAATTGACATATTTAGATAAATAGAGCCAAGTTTCAATATTTCTATTTAATAGGCCTGTTTTCAGGAGTCAAAATTTTCTTTCTCTTTTCTGTATGATATAGGAAAAATTGGTAGATAGCAAATTAATAGTCTTAAAAATAGGGTGACTAGACAAAACAAAAAGTGAACACTTTTTGATGGTACCACATTCTAATCTTTTACCATTTACATAGTAAATTTAATTCCTCCCTCTAAGTGGAATATCAAATTCCTTAATGTTTGTTTATTAATTTTCTTTAATATGTATTTTCTTCTCTGTGTAATGAAATTTTCTAATCACTCCTATACAGAAAAGCTATGCACCTGAGCTGCTCAGTCTTGCTTCTAAATATTATCCTGATTTTAGGATAAATATACAGAGATTTTTTTTAACAGGATGCTATTTTCTTCTAATTCTGTTTTTTTATAAGCCTATAATTATGTTTGTATACCAAAATAAACAAACATGCTTGTAAGATTATCGAGTAGACCCATTTCATTTGGCCAGAACATTTAAAAAATGTACAGTATGCCTTTAGGTAGCAATGCCACTTGTCATTACAATCCTTACCATTACTTATTACTTCCATAGCTGCTTCACATACTTGCTTTTCTGGTTCCTAAAGGCATTTGAGCTTGTGTCTCTTGCTATAAATTATAACACAGTGAATTATTTCTTACATTGCTATCTGGATCAGAAAAATGCTAGTTATGTAAAGTTGTAGGTAGAAATATTGGTCATATTCCAGTACCTACCATGGGTACTGAAATACGCAGTTGCTCAAGTCCCTTATATTTATGGTATAGTACAACTGGCCATCCATATCCATTGGTCCCCTCATCCACTGTAATGCTTTTATGTGAATAAGTGTTTAATCAATCAAAGCATTTTCTATTATAATGGGGCAACACATGCAACAGAAAGTATAAAACTTGAAAAGAAACTAATGAAATTATCAGTATTTGAAGGTAAGATGATTACCTGGCAAATCTAAGAGTTAACAGAAAAACCAATTGAAGTTACCGTAGAAATAGTTGTGAGAATTACATTGCATCTTTTAAGTTTATGTCATAAAAGGTTGATTGTGCTCACTTGATACAGTTATCATTAACCCAGCCAGTATAAAAACTGTGTAAATTCTTGGAATTATGTGACATAAGTTGTATAAGAAGAAATAAATGGTATTTATAGTGAAATATATATATTTTTTAAAATTTATTTTTGGTGGGGGGAGGTAATTAGGTTTGTTTATTTGTTTGTTTTTAATGGAGGTACTGGGGATTGAAACCAGGACTCATGGGTTCTACCACTGAGCTATACCCTCCCCCCTGGAAATACATTTTTAATACCATTTAGGTGGCAAATGATAACATGTCAATTTATGAAAATCAGTCTCCTGGAAATCAATGATCAGTTAGAAAATGTAATGGAAATGATTCCACTCATAAAACAGAAACATAAAAATGCTTAGAAATAAGATTTAAGAGAATCTTACCAAATTTTTATAAAGAAATACTACAAAATTCCACTGAGGTTGTAAAAGAAGACTTAAATAGATGGAAAAGAAATACTAAACCTTCGAGGGCTTCGAAGAGATCCGAAGACTCAACATGTGCTCTTACAAACATTTGTTGGTATAGGGGAAGCAGTTTTCAAAAGCTGAGCTGCACTTCTGGTTCTGCTAAGAGGAGCAAAAATCAAAGCCCAGAGTTTCAGAGGTGGAATCTCTGGTAAATTACCTCTCTATTTAATATGACACACTGAAGGAAGAAAATGGAGCCATGTGCATTAAATCTACAGATTTGCCTCCTGACGTAGTATCCTGCTAGTGATCCAACCTGGATTAACTGGTCAAACCTGGTTTAAGATATGTAGACTGATACTGCCCACAACTCCCTGAAAGAAAAATCCTCCTGTAGAAAGTATAATTATTCTAGACCTGAAATTAGTCATATAATTTTTTTTTGCATACAGTGTTTGGCTCATAAATATAACCAGATACACACACAAACTCTCTCACAATGGCCTCAAGAACAAGAAGCAGCCAAACCAACAGACAAGAGACAGACCAAAAATATCTTGAAGTATTGGAATTACCAAACACAGAAAGCCATCATACTTAGCAAGTTAAAAAAATAAATAAATAAAGTTCATACATAATGGTAGGAAGTTGGAAACTGTAAAAAAGTGACAAGGCAGATCTGAAAAAACTAAACAGAAGTTTTAGAATCAGAAAATACAATACCTGAAACTCATTCATTGTGCAAGTTTAACAGATAAGACAAATCAGAATTGAGCATTAGTAAACTGGAAGATACATAGTCCAGAAGAAGCTATGAAAGGACATGTTCAGAAGAGGGAAAAATATGGAAACTACTAGGCAGAAGAAGAGGGTAAGACTTAGAGGATACAGTGAGATCCCATTTTACTGGCATCCCAGAAAGAAGAAAGTAGATAAAGGCAATAGGGAGTATTTGAAAGGATAGACAAATAGTCCAATGGAATAGAAGGGAGTACAAAAACAGATCTCAGAATATTGATTTGTAACAAAGACGGCACTGTAATGTGGAATAGTTGAGATTTTCAGTAATTGGAAAATTGGGTATTTATATAAAAAACTTAATTTGGACCAGTTGATTATAAAAATCAATTACCTTTGGGTTATAGACTTAAATACAACAAAGTCTTTAGAGGATAATGTAAAATACCTTCTTGACCTTTGAGTAGAGGAATGTCATCCTACTTTGTTAAAAAAACAAAATATGTATTTGTGAATATTTATTGCATAAAATCTGGACATATTTTAAAAAGTTAGCTGTTTGTGGATGATGGTATTTTGAATGATTTCTTTTTACTTATTTGAATTTTCTAATGTTTCTAAATTGAGCATGTACTGTACTGTTTACCTAATTGACAACACCAAATGTTATCAGTTTGTACCAAAATTAAAATGTACCAAAAATAAGGGATGCTTATTTCTTCCATTATGGGAGTCAAATTTTAATTAAAATTCTGATCAAACGAACCACTTTTTGGTGTTAGAAAAATGTATATTCATGCACATAGACACACAACTGTGTTGTTACACAGTTGTAACACAGAATGTGGTATACTATCTGTATTGTAAAAATATAGATAAGGACTGAATGACTCTTGTCTTTTCATTTTCTTTTCATTTAAATGAGTCCTTTAATCTTCTGTTTCTTTTCATTGCAAATACTACCTAATCTTGCCTTCTCAATATTTCTTCTGCCTCCCTTTTTCCATTCTGGTTTTAGGCGACTTAAATGTCCTTCCTCCCCCTTTTTTAAAATATAATTTTGACATTATAGGTCTATAGAGAGTCTAGAACTTTTCAAAGGAAAACTATTGTAAGTTTAATGTAAGAGTGGAATTCATTTTGATAACCTTAGGATCTTACATTTTAAGATTTTCTCTTAATTTCTGGGCTTTGCACAGGAAAAAAAATCCTTTCAAAAGTACCTTTTCTGATAAAGTAAATGAGTGTGTTACTTGAAAAATGATTTAGAGCATGTGGGTTTTAACAGGAAAGGATTTGTTTTCTGACTTTTTCTCTGTTATACTAAGAGGTGTTATGTTTCTGTTTTGTTTTTTAATTTGGGTAGGATGTTATCTGACCAATTTTTAACATATGATATGCTGTATTTACTTTGATAGAACTCCAAAGAAGCTTAGAGGTAAGTTTAGGGTTCATCGGTCATCCATGTATACTTGTCTCTTTCAACTTATAACTGTTTTTAGGTCATTAATTGTCCTTTTTATCCTTCTTGGAAGTAGGGGTAAAAAGTGAATAAATATTGCATTTATATAAATATGTATGCATATCACATACATAAGTCTTTTCATATACTATGTAAATGTTCTGTCTTCAATTTCTTTAGCCAACAAACGGAATCTTCTTGAGCATGTTTCTGATTGTTTTGCCGTTGGAATCCATGGCTCATGGGCTCTTTCATGAACTGGGTAACTGTTTAGGAGGAACATCTGTTGGCTATGCTATTGTGATTCCCACCAACTTCTGCAGGTACAGTAACCTGGTATAATTAGTAATAGCTACTTGACTCAACATTTTGCTAATATTTGTATGAATAAAAAACGATAGCTCTTTTTTCAAAACTATTTGCATTTTTTTCATTTATCCCAAATGTTTAAAAACCTTTATCTATTCTGGTAATATAATCGTCAGTTAAAATTTTATTTTTGATAAATGTGATTAGCTTGTATTTTAGCTAAAAGTCAAAATACGAATGAATTTTCTAAGGTCTTATCCTTTCTTTAGAGAAGGATGTCTTGTTTAAGAAAATGTCCCATGAAACAGCATGGTGAGGTATAACAGAATGTACACTGGACCTAAGAGTCCTAAATTCTAGTTCTGTGTTACCTTAGGTAAGGCATAACTTCTCTGAACCTCAATGTCTTTATCTAAAATGCAAACAGCAGCACCATTCTGGCCATATCAGAGTAATGTTAGGAAGAACATTAGTTCTTATAGTTACTTATACTTTAAGTACCTTTGAAATAGAAAAAAATAATTCTTTGCCATTGACCAAGTATTTATACTTTCCATGGAAGTGGTGGGGAAAGGATTTGAAATAAAATTTTTATCTGATTTCAAATATTTGACATAAAAACACAAAATAGACTATTCATAATAAATATTTTTCTCCATATTAAGGGCTTGATAAAAAGTTGAAGATTCTTATGAGAAGTAAAAGAAATAGATTTAGAAGGATCCCATAAAGTACGACAACTCTGCAGAAAGAACATGTGGAAATAGTAATTTGCACAGTTAGATTTTTATTTCATTATAATTTTGATTATGCATTGCTTATTCTTTTACTTTTTTGTGGCTGCTAAATGATACAAATCTGGGATGAAATGTTTTATTCTTTTAATGAGAACTTACATAGTATTATTAGAATAGTATTGATAATACATGAAACAAAATGTGAAGTTTTCAAAATTCCTAATACAATCCCTTTTCTGGATAGGAGTGATTTTTTTCCTGCCTCAATATT